TTCTTTAAGGCCACGGTAGAATCTGTCTTGCTCTACGGCCCAACAATATAGACAATGGCGAAACACCAAGAAGCAACACTTGACGGAACATACACAAAGATGTTACGATTTGCATTGGACATCAGCTGGAAGAAACACCTAACAAAGAAATGCCGGTATAGAATACTTTCTCCTCTCTCAGTTTCGCAGAGAGAGAGAGAGAGAGAGAGAGAGAGAGAGAGAGAGAGCGCGCGCTTTGGCTAGCTGGTTAGTTTTGGAGAAGTAAGTCAGAACTTGTGGGTGACACCCTCCTATGGAACCCATTGCGCGGTAAAAGATCAGTTGGAAGACCTCATCACACCTACATTGACCAACTTGTAGATGACTCTGGATGCTATCTGGAGGACCTGCCGGCAGCAATATCTGACAGAGATGGTTGGAAGGAGCGTCTGGAGAAGAATTCTTTACCTGATGATGATGATGAATCTGTTTTTAAGTGTGAAAATTGCATTAAGACTTTTTACGAATAAGAATTATTTCAGATACAAGAGCTACTATTTAATCCATATCTGGGGGAGGAAATGCATATATACATTGCATTTGCGTGTAAGTGAATATATCTAACAGGCCTAGAATTCGAATCCGGCTCTACGATTTCGCTTTCGAAGCAAATTTAGATTACAACACATCTATGGATTTGGTATTGGGGAGATGGAATGAACTCAACAAATGTAAATTTATATCAAAACCTTACGGTATCGAGTCACTTCTCCACCACCAAAAAAGAAGAAAACAATTTTAAAAATTAATTTAAGCATCTTCTTATCTTGATTTTTCGAGTTATTCATCAGAGAAAAAAATCCTTACTCTTCTGATTGGAAGATAAATCAAAACGTCCGAGGCCTGTATCAGAAACTTGAATTTAACTTTTCTCCTATATGGTAGTGAATGCTAGACAATCTCATCCCATATGAAGAAGAAACGTGAGACAAGAGAAATGTAGCTCTACAGAAGGATGCTGAGGATTCCATGGACTAAACATGTGACAAGGAGGATGTTTTAAGGAGAATAGCAACAGAAAGGACACATCCTTAGAATCAGAAGAGAAATTTCTAGGCCACCTAATAAGGAAAGTGGGCTTAGAAAATATGACACTCACGGGGCAAAATATGACACTCACATAACCTATCTAACGCGGTTATGTAAAAGGTTGACAGAAAAGAAACTGGGAAAGATAGCAAAAAGACAAACTTTATTGAGATCTACAAAAGAAAAGATATTGTGGAGAGCCATAATCGCCCGCATACTGAAGGGAAGCGGCACTTAGAAGAAGAAGATCCATTATACAATCTGCATCTCTATTCCGAAAAATGCAAAGTAGTAGAATAGATAATATTGAAAAGGAAGAAAAAACACTGGTTTATTGAGATTTGTTGTTACTTGATCTCTTTCTTTTAATCCAATCCCAAGCAAGGCAATAAAGCCACTAAGATGAAGGGGTCACTGAGTGTGAAATATTGTAAGAAAGAGGATCAAAGATCGAAAATAATGAAAGAACAGGAATTAAGAAGAGAGAAGAGAATATAAGGAACCTGACTGGAATTGAAACACAGCTTTCCGCACATCCAAGCTCCCGGCACCTGCTATTCACAAGTGACCATCCACCTGAGTACTGATCATCTCGATGTCGCTTAACGTCGAAGATCTGACAAGAACCGGTCTTTCAACGTGATATAGTCGTAAGCCGATTGACATTGCATTTAAATGTTTGAAGATCAAAGTTGACTGGGAAGCAAGAACCAGGAAGAATGCGAGGAGTGCGAAAGAAGAAACTGATAGCATAGAACTTGCGGTTTTATCTAAGCATTTCACCTGTAATATTGGGAGACCTTGCAGCCAAAATGTGACTGCAGAAAAAAGTGTTTTACCCCCAAGGACATTCATGGAGATATTAGGAGATGACACTACACGTTTATTAACGCTGCAAAAGTGAACAACTGAATGTTGTTTTGATAAAGTCAAGGCTCCATACAGGAAAGATCATTAGAAAAATTAATATGAAAATATTTGTAGAAAAGGCAGAGGGAAGTCACGTTACGACAATGAGAAAATATCTAAAGTAGAAATGCTAGGTCAGGACCTATGATATTGCAGATTCGTTAATTTATCAAACATTTCTAAATATATAGCAGGAGCACCAAACCATACATGTAACCTCTCGTGTAAAGGAATTAAATTTTTTTTCTTTCTATTCAGGCTGGCGAACATTTTGTCAATATCGTAAGAACGCATTATAAAATCGTTTTCATTCGATTTAAATGTCGTTAAATAATTTTTCAAATGCTTGGGTTTTATTGCAATGGATGATCGAATTACGAACAGGAGATCTTTCCGACAAGTAAGATAAATTAATTATTACGATTAGAATTTTTTTATATAATTAAATTCGATATCTCTGGTTTTTTCCTCCACTATGGCAAATGAAAAAAAAAACAAAAAACTCTTTATATAACATGGGGTTTAATTATTTTATTTTATTATTATTTCCGTTTTTTTTATTGTCTTAAATATTCCTGAAGTCGATAAAGAAAGTAATATAAATTTTAATAAAGTTTATAGATAATAAAACAATTTTCAACCGCCACGAAAAAATAACACAATGAAATTGTTTAGCATTCGATATTGAGAAAATGAATAGTTTCGCTCAGAACTGAGTTTGGATATAGGGATTCATTTTGTAAGCAGTTATCTATAATATTATTGTGCTATGGTCTATGATGGTTTATTAAGCGTAGCTTAGTTGTGTCACAAGTAATAAACGGACTCACTAATTAATCGTAATTGATCTGGCAAGACAAGCTTGCTATTAAACCACGTCGAAGGGCGCGTTCAATATGGTTTATGTATACCCTTGTGCAAATTAATTGAACCAACTGGTTTAGTTTTCTTTTTTTCACCATACGGTCAATTTTAGACCCACTGGAGAGACAGGGTGTAATCGATTTCTATTTTTTCCTAAGATTAGGTCATTTGCTGTGGTGTGCAGTAATATGAATCTCTTTTCGGGGTGTATGATGACACTTGTTTGGCCTTGAAAAAATATTGCGTCATCCGTGTTTACATCAGATTTTTACCACGCCCAGACACTATTGTTTCGACTGTCGATTAGTTATCCTACGGCCATTGTCTGCGATGGAAATTACTCCAAGGTTGCGTACGAAATGTGTAACGCTGCACGAACACACTAACAAGCCTTACAAGTGTGCAAATCAAAGTACTATAGACTGGCTCGGAAATTCTCCTGATTTAAATCCAATCAAGAATCTATGACCAATCTGCATTGAACGACTTCGATGAATGGACATACGAAATAATAAAACGTGTGCTGGGTCATGTTTCATTGGAAACATACGAAAAAAATTAAGAAAAAAAAAGTAATTATTCGTTTTGTTTCAATTTGCACAAGGGTGTAAGTAAAATGCTGTTGATGCCTTTCAAGGGGAAGTAATCCATGTAACTTTGTCAATCAAAACGTCTGCAGTCGTTAAAATTATTTAAAAAAAGGGGAGTGGGTAGAAAACAAGCAAACGCAAAAATTTTAGGGTTTTAATTATTTAAATACGAAGTTATGATAATTTAGTTTATTTAATTAAACATTGACTTAATTCTTTTCAGGTTTTAAATCGGCATGATCCATTTTCGTATCTGATCTATGTTGTTTGTGTACATTTTTGGCGCAGACTTTAAAAATCAACCTTATTCCGTGTTTCTTAAAATACGAGGAACCCCTAACTAGGAAATATCTCGAATACGTAACCGTGTTGGGTTCGAAACTAATTTTAGAGGGCGGCTACTTTCCGGGTGATCGATTGACTATGAATTTCTATTGCAAAGAAAGCAGACCCCCAGTACCCTGAAGTACCCAATAGAAATACACCGTTCGTGAATTTTACGCTTTTTAGGGATACTCAATAAGCGGATCCGAGATTAATTTGCGAATAAAAACTTTTATTTTTAAAGACTCTACGCTCGTCTACTTTTATAAAAAGAAAAGCGAGGGGTGAGGTTAGTGATTAGCTACTTAATACTTAAATGCCTAAGGTTTCTTACGGGAAGATTTCATAGCACGTGAAATCATGGCAGTGTAAATAGGACATGAACAAAATAACAGACCAATTGATCTGTAAGGCAAAGATTATATTTATTAAAACAAAATGAAAAAAAAGGAAAGGTTAAACAAGTGTTTCTTTTGTTAGAAGTAAATTGCATACGCAATGAAATGTTCATGAATATGTTATAGTGGGATTTGCTTAGTGTTTCACTGTGAAACGTTCACAGATATAAACCCTATTTCTAAGGCACATGATGAGGAAAGAAAGCTTAAAGAATTTGACACTCACAGTAAATAAAGATGGCAAAACGGACAGAAGAAAAAGGTCGCATAATCTACTTAACGAGACTGTGTAAATGGTCGTGAGAAATAGAAAAAATAAAACAAAGTTTACTAAGAGCTACAACGGACAGGATGTTGTGGAGAGTCGTGGCTGTTCATATCCTCGAGCGATACACAGCATATAAGAAGATGCTGATAAGTTACGACTAGCAACATTTCATTCTGATTTTTTCTTAATCTATTGAATTAAGGGTCATTCACACAGTAACGACACTGAGCAAAAGCTTCTTGTTGGCAATATATGCAAATTACTGAACGGATCAAAGCTCACTTGAACGAGAAGTTGTGCTCTGGAAAGGTGTGTTAATTAAAACCAGGCTGTCAGGTAAACAATACACGTCAACAGCAATATCTTAGACCGGCTCAGTAGTATATAGTATGACTCTTAAAATCTTGACCACTATAGCCAGGAATTAAATGTTGTTACATTAGAAGGAAAGGAACAAAAAATAAGAAAGAAAAAAAAAGAAATAAAAGACAGAAAGAAATAAAGAAAAAAGATAAAAGAAAGACATAAAGTAAAAAGTAGATAAAGAAAGAAAGACAAAAAGAAACAAAAAAGAAATAATTAAAGAAAGAAAGAATGTAAACGATGAAGACAGGTAGAAACAAAAAGAAATGAAGAAAGAAAGAAAGAAGATAAAAGAAAGAAATAAAATAAATAAGAAATAAAGAAGAGAAAAGAAAGATGGAGAAAAGGAAAAGAAAGAAAATCAAGAAAAACAGAAACAAAAAAGAAAAAAAGAAAGAAAGTAGAAAAAGAAAGAAACAAACAAAAATGAAATAAAGAAAGAAGGTAAAAGAAAAAGATGGAAAGAAACAAAAAATAAATAAAGAAAGAAAACCAATATAAAAAGATAAAAGAAAGAGCGACAGAAATAAAGAAAGAAGATAAAAGAAACAAAGACAGAAAGAAACAAAAAAAAAAAAAAAAAAAGAAGGAAAGAAAGAAAGAAGGAAAGAAAGACATAAACAAAAAAGAAAGAACGAATGAAAGAAAGAAGGGAGATACAAGAAATAAAATAAAAGAAAGAATGACAGAAAGAAAGAAAGGTAGAAAGAAAGAAGATAAAAAAGAATGAAAAAGAAAGAAAAAAGAAAGAAAGAAAAAGAAAGACAGAAAGAAACCAAAAAGAAAGAAAGAAAGAAAGAAAGAAAGAAAGAAAGAAGGGAGATACAAGAAAGATAAAAGAAAGGCAGAAAGAAAAAAAAAACCCAAAAAACAAGTAGAGAAAGTAAGAAAGAAAGAAGAAAAGGGAAAATTGGAAGCCGAGTGAAAAGTAAAAAAAATTACCGCCTTCCACTTTTTCGTCATTATCATAATGTTAAAATTTTAAATGAAAGAAACATTTTCTACAAACTATTTTTTTAATCTAATAAACTAATATTTTAAGATTATTTATTTTGCAACAAGGAATAGATATTTAAATAATAAATGCGTATTTTTCTATCGACTGCATTTTCGAAATAGTTGATAAAAAACGAGAAAAGTTTGGTTGTTAAAAAAAAACAAACACCCGTCAGCGAGAGTAGAATAGGAAGCAGAAATTCCGAGGCCAATTGGCGCGCATGCGCGGCGGCGGGAGAGAGAAGATTGAAAAGATTTATTTCTCTTCAGTTAATCAATTTTCTTTAACTATCGAAAGCTGCGATGATTGAAAATACCAAAGAAGAGGATCATGGGAAATTGATAAATGAAATTAGAAAAAGATGGCAAATGCATATATATATATATATATATATATATATATATATATATATATATATATATATATATAAGAATACTTTCTTAAGACTGGATCTAAATTCTGCTTATATTTGTTCATTCTCAACACACACCTAACCTTAGAGTTTTCAAAGTAATCAACGAATTTACAATTATTTTTAACATACTTCTAAATAATGTTGTAAAATCTTAGAGAATTGAATGTTTGTAAAGCAATTCAGATGACAGGATTAAAAAGAAAAATAATTTAACACCGCATTCAACGTAATGAATATTCTTTTCAAGATAGAAACATATAATTTGTTTATTAAATGTTCATCGAAGAAAAGGCGCAAGAGCCTCTCAAGCTATGAGTAAGCTTGTTGCATGGTCATGAGTGAAGAGTTAGGGTTAGATTATGATGATATGTAGATTGGAAAACTGTTGACTCTGGATATGAAGTGGTTAATATTATAGAGATCAAGGAAGTATTGTCTCGGGAGCCTGGCCCATAAAGTTGCGGTTGTCTGGATAAAATGTCTCTAAGTGGAAAATCTTTCTTACCAGTAGGATACGAAGGAAATGCGGATGAATCGAATCTGTGTACGTGGCATGGTGGGTCCGAACTGTGAACTTCTGCACCGGTTGAAAGTATTTTTTTAAAGTTATGTTTTTATCTTTCAGACCGCAATTAAATAATTACCAAGTGTTCCCCCTAAAAATGTATGACAATGAATTCTCCATAACAAAGGGCACAGTGCGTGTCTTGGTTTATAGAAACACAGTCGGTTATTCAAAAATGAATCAGGTAAATCTGGAGAACAAGCTTCATCATTTCAATCGAGTCTAATGTCTTTGTAGACACCCTGTATATGATTTACGCTATACTGGTCCCTGAAACTTCGATATCACTTCTTAACGGAGCCGTATTGATCAAGATATGCGATTGTGTTAGCTTTGATGTCACTGGGGGTGGTTTCGATGGACATTGGGCTTTATTAATATCATTTTTATGTTTCAAACCGCAATTAAATAATTAACAGGGGTTCTCCCTTAAAGTGGATGGCAATGGCTACACCACAAGAATGGAACCAATACGTGTCTCAGCTTATTGAAACATTCGTATATTCACAAATTAATCAGGTAAATCTGGAGAACAAGCTCCGGCATTTCATTCGAGTCTAATGACTTATTGGACACCCCGTATATCAGTTAGGTTTGACTGGTTCCTGAAACATCGGAACGTGTTTTTTATTGATAATGATTGACGGGGGGCATAATGTTTGTATCTTCTTCGTCAGAAACATGTTTCAGTTTATTTTTTAAGAAAAAACTAAAGCTGACAGTCAACTGAGTGACGGAAAAAGTAAAAGGTATGAGAGAAACTGAGATATTTTTTATTTTGCTGCATAGAAAGCATAATGTGATTTCTTTTTTCTATTTCCATTAAAACAAGCCAAAAACCATTTTCTATTCCTGCTTTTTTGAAAAGGGGACAGGTCTGGAAGGGTCCCAAGTTGTCACATTTACACAAACCAAAGCGTATATAGAGTTCCTCCTAAAATTCGATGGCAATGCCTATTCCATAAGACTTTTTAAAAAGTATTTCACCCCAAGCAAGGCGGGAGTACCACTAGCATATCAGTCGTTAGAGTGTGGGAACAAGAGTAAAGAGGCGTGATAGAAGAAAGGATGAAGAGAAAGACGGGTAATTAAATCAAGGTATAAGAACATGTCGATTGACATTGCATTTGAATAACTGAAGATTATAACTATCAGAGAAGCAAATAAGAGGAAGGGAGTTCCACAGACGGGAAGTGCGAGACATGAAGCTATTGGAGTTGAAGAGACGGCTACATTTAACAGTGCCGAGTGAGACTGAGATGCCAACCTAGTAGCACACTTAAATTCATGTAGTCTGGGAACCAGTGAAAGTAGCTAGTCGGGGCAGTTACCGTGAAAGTATTTGTAGAAAAGACAGAGGGAAGCGACGGCACGTAATAGGCACAATGTGTGTTTCGGTTGATCGAAACACAGAAACAAGAAATAACACAGATAAGAAAGAAGCCCCGGCATGCCAATCGAGTCTAATGAATTTGTGGACACAGCGAATGTCCAAGCAATCTCTTTCTGTTTCTGAGTATGTCTCTTTCTTTTTACATTTTCCTTTAACCAATGCTTTTATCTTCTAGGTTTATAAATGTTAGCGCAGTACTAGATTGGCGGTAAGGTCTCATCATTTTACATCTGAAATGTTAAAATATAACCGTAATTTCTATGATAACAGTTTCTTCATTCACACTTCTCTCCAGTTTCTTATTTCTCATTCAACTTTGAACTTCAAAAATTTAAATGCATTTTCAGTCCTTGTTTTATTTTGAGATTTTTATTGTTCTCTTACCTTAATAATGATTTTATAATGATTTTTATAATATATATATATATATATATATATATATATATATATATATATATGCAAGCAAATATATGGATATAGATCCGACAGTATGAAGAAAAAAAATATACGGAAAAAACCAAAAATCCTTATATACAATTATGCTGTTTTAATGTTAATATGTACATCGTCTTTGTCATGTTGTATTGATAATGTTATAATTTATGAATATGTCCTGTAGATGGTTTATTAGACCGAAACGTCAGACGTTGACATATTAACATTAAAACAGCATAATTGTATATAAGGATTTTTGTTTGTTTTTTCCGTATATATTTTCTTCATATATATATATATATATATATATATATATATATATATATAATTTAATTAAAACATAGAACTTTAAGGGTACATGGTTATAATTTATTTCCCCGCGGAGTTTCTCTGGATCATCAGACCTTATTTCCAACGATGAAAAAATTTACGTATCATTTTTTCACTTTTGAGGGGTAGTATTAAGTTGATGTAAGATATATATATATATATATATATATATATATATATATATGTGTGTGTGTGTGTGTGTGTGTGTGTGTGTGTGTGTGTGTGTGTGTGTGTGAATCAAACAGATAAGTTGGCTAATAAAAAAGAACAAACGAAATGCTTCCAATGTAAACAGTACAATAACTAATTTATTAATTATTAAACATATGGCAAAGAGCACGGAGAGAAATATTTTCGGAATTTTCGGACACGCCTGTGTCCTTCATCAACTGACCGAGGAACAAACAGCGAAATGAGAATTATTCTTTGACAGATGTTTTTTGTATTATAGATGGGTATTTTCCAATGGAAATCGTATTATCAACAACAACAACAAAAAAACAGATCTCTCTTTGATACCTCAATGTACGAAATCTTCCGAAAATAAGCTTAAATTTAAATTTTCATTGCTGCAAAAAGTATAGATATATACATGCACATGCGTACATATATGCACATAACAGTAAATATACACATGCCCGCGCGCAAACATAAATCTCCAAACATGTACAAAATTAATGTGTATCTTCACTTACCTTCTCCTCTCAGATGGTGAGATAGATAGATAGATAGAAAGATAGATAGATATGAACAGACTGAAATAGATAGATAGATAGATAGATAGATAGATAGATAGATAGATAGATAGATGTTTTGTAGATGGGTAATTTCCAGTGGAAATCGAATTATTAAAAAAAAAACAACAAAATACAGATCTCTCTCTGATACCTTAATGAACGAGACCATTTATGAAAATGAACTTAAATTTTGATCGGTGCAAAAGTTGTTCTGCAGGTCTGTTGTTATTAGTGTATGTCGTAGGGGGATTGAGATGTAAACATTGATGAAAAGAGGTATAGGTTTCGTAGGGGAAACGCGGCTCTCGTGTAGCAAGTTGTAGCAAAAATTGCCAGATCACGTGGTCCATTGTTGAAAGAGGGAACTATAGTTAGAATAAGTTGTTATAAAAATGAAGAAAGACGAAAAGAGCAAAAAGGAATTTAGATAATAATAGAATAAAATAAAAATATGAAGCAACAAAATATCGATAACAATCTGAAGATATGTTATGTAAAAGATTTAATAAAATAAATGAAAAAACTGAGGAAAAAGCGTGTACATATAGATGCACATGCGTACATATATGCACATAACAGTATAGAAATATACACATGCGCACATATATATACACTCATTTTACATATATATATATTTATGTACAAACACATTTATATATATATATATATATATATATATCAAAATGTTTGTGTGTATATATATATACATAAATATATGTATATATATATGTAAAATGTATATATATATATATATATATATATATATATATATATATATATATATATAGATAGATAGATAGATAGATAGTACTGATGGCAAATATATTTTTTCGATATGTTTTAATCAGACATCACAGATATTTTCTTCCCATCACTTTTTTTTAGTAAATATCCCACACTGTGATAACAGAATTTCCGCAGGGAATGGTGAATTGTTGTAAGAGCGCGGGCTCACATTTACCTTCCGATCAAGGCACTCTGTATATATTTTCGTCCTAGGGAATTATTTCTCCTTTGATCAGAGTATCATCTTATTTATGTCAAAATTATCGTCAGTCTTCTTATGATGGGCAACCAACACACACACACACACACAC